GATTGGGATTGGCGACTCCCGTTTTGGGATTCGAATCCCGAATCCCGAATCTCGAGCTTGGGATTGGGATTCGCAAATCTCGTTTTGGCATTCGAATCCCGAATCCCGAAATTGGGATTGGGATTCGCGAATCCCGTTTTGGGATTCGTATCCCGAATCCCCAATCCCGAAATTGGGATTGGGGTTCGCGAATCCCGTTTTGGGAATCGAATCCCGATTCCCGAACCCCGAATCCCGAAACTGGGATTGGGATTCGCGAATCCCGTTTTGGGATTCGATCCCGAATCCCGAAATTGGAATTGGGATTCGCGAATCCCGCTTTGGGATTCGAATCCCGAATCCCGAATCCCGAAATTGGGATTGGGGTTCGCGAATCCCGTTTTGGGATTCGAATCCCGAATCCCGAAATTGGGATTGGGATTCGCGAATCCCGTTTTGGGATTCGAATCCCGAATCCCCCGAATCCCGAAATTGGGATTGGGGTTCGCGAATCCCGTTTTGGGATTCGAATCCCGAATCCCGAAATTGGGATTGGGATTCGCGAATCCCGTTTTGGGATTCGAATCCCGAATCCCGAATCCCGAAACTGGGATTGGGGTTCGCGAATCCCGCTTTGGGATTCGAATCCCGAATCCCGAATCCCGAATCCCGAAACTGGGATTGGGATTCGCGAATCCCGTTTTGGGATTCGAATCCCGAATCCCGAAATTGGGATTGGGATTCGCGAATCCCGTTTTGGGATTCGAATCCCGAATCCCGCCTGGCGGGGCGATCTCCGGATCGCCACTCCCCAAAGCATAGACGCTTGGACGCCACGTATGTGCACCATGTGTAAGTTGCCTAGGTTGGTACCAATAGTTCAAAAGGACGTATTGGTGCACGATCCACACATTCCGCTATGATGGACATTGGGCAACTAGGGCAACACTGGAAAACAGGACACTTGGAGCACTGGACACTGGGCAACACAACACTGGAGACTGGAACTGGGCTCTGAAATTGTCCACCAAAGTCCCAACTCCAACGACTGTTGGGCAACTTCTGCCTGAACCTCACACCTTCCAGCGAAACTCAGCCTCGATTGTTCCAGCATTCCAAATATCAGCGATAGTTGGTCTTACAGATGGCTTGCCTTAGGTGTCCCTGTAAACTGTTGCTTTCCTTTTGGTTCTCTTTAAACGCCCACTGAAAGGGGTTCCCCTCAAATGACACCCACATCATCTCAAGCAACCAAGGGGAACGGGAGTCGATCTCCTTTATTCAGCATCTATTCAGTTGTGTTCCCCATGCGCTTTCTCGCGTTTCTGGACGCCCTCTTAAGATTGCTCCTTGAGCAGAAGGACCAATTGCGGACCGCGCCCGCGCCATGGACAGCTAGAGTCCATTTTGCAACCATACCCTAAACAAACCAATACCCTGAAAGAAGGAGGATGCAAAATAGACCCGTTCAGTGTCCATACCGCCCCAAACTGCATGGTTTTCCGTTTCGTAGCCCTTTGAACCGACTTCAAGAAGGGCTGCCCTCTCAGATGTCCCTCTCCAAAGGGGTTTTTTGTCCCTCCAAAAAAGCAGATATGTAGGTGTTTTTCCAGTGTCTCAGAGGCCAGGCCAGGGGCAAAACAGGGCATCTGATTTTGATGAGTTCAAAGGGGAACACTTCCCAAACAAGTTAGAAAAGGCTTGCAAATGTCTTCCTTCTTGTCATATGCCAAGTTTGGTCTCACACAATTCCTGGGAGAACTTTGAACCGGCGCATCCACGCAACCTTCGGCTTGTCTTCCCCTTCGACTCGTCGCCGGGAACTGGGCTGCCGCGCCCGGCCGCCCGAGGAGCTGGGCGAAGCGCTCCACCAGCGTGCAGTCCTCCTCGAAGTCCGACAGACAAGTGCCTGGCGAGGCGAGGCGGGCGAGGCGGGCGAGAAAAGGGCGAAGCTGAAACACCAGAAAACGCATGGGAGGTCAACAGCTTCCCCTGAAAGTTGGTGGTAAACACCATCAAAAATTCATAAGCACAAACACACTTATAAGTTTTTGATACCCATCCCCTTGCTTGGCGGTTTGGATTTTGGGATTTGAACCCCAAATCCCTTAAGGGCAGTGTTCAAACCAAACCAGACCGAGTAGGGGGAAGCTGAGGACTTCCGTGTTTGTTGCTACCAGGATTCCATTTTGCTCCATTAAACTGGGTACTTTCTGTTACTCTGCAGCCTGGAACCAGAAAGACCACATTTCGAGGAATTGATGCTTTTTTTCTGGCACCCAAACATCGCTGGGTTTTGCGCGCGAACTTTATGGAATCTCTAAGCGGGGTAGGCACAGGAGGGTGGGCAGTTGAGAGCCCTAGGGTTCCTGGAGGGTTCCCAGGCAGGCCACTTGGCCGGCCAGTGTGGGCCTCGTGAACGCCCTCACATCATAATTCACAAAGACAGGCCAATTGGGGTCCATAGCAACCTTTCCCGTGTCTCCACTTCCATTTGCTTAAGCCCCCTGGAAAACATCTATATTTGTGGTAGTGCTAGTAAAACCCAAAAGGCAAACAAATCCAATAACCATTTTAGCAAATGGAAGTCCAGAAAGAACTATGCCATGAAGCTCACATGGAAGACGCACGCAAGGCGTGGAGTGTGTATCCCTTAAACTGTGCAATGGACTTGTTGGGTTCCCCTTGAAAGCTTCTTCACAGGTGGAAAGAGCAGCACACTCGCATGAGACATGGACAAAACATATGGTTGGCTTCGCCAATAGGAAGAATAGACATGGCAAATTCTGAACTCCTGGCTTCTGTAGCAGATTCGGCGAGTTGTCCATGACCCTCCGAAATTGAACTTGGGGTTTTGACCGCACCCGCCAAAAACTACCATGAACCCCCGAGTACAGCAAGCCAGCTGCAATGGGAAAAAGCAGCTAGCTGTGTTTTTGGGTGCTGTTCTCAGATCCCCTCCTAAAAGTGAATAACTTTTAGTGGGTGAAATGGACACCCACCACAAAACCAACTAAAGACCTCAAAACCTACCTATTGGCAGCCCCCCCCCCCCCGTGTTGTACATTTTCCGCCTCGAAAAGTGGCCCAGGCAAAACCTAAGGAACGGCGCCTGGAGGCAGTGGCGGCGGGGCTTCGCAGCAGAAGGCAGCAGCCCATTCAGCTGAGCTCACCTCACTTTTCCGAACCCGAAGGATCTGGAAAAAATACCGGGGATACCTGGGCTCTTCTAATTCACCAGCCGGGAAGAAGGATGTCACCTTCATGGTTGAGCTCGCGTTTTTTCCCCAGGCGAGCTCGGTATAACTTGTCCTGGAGGATCAAGTGCTGAGGAACTCCCACTGAAAAATCACGTGACGCATCAAGGGTCAAACACTCGGAAGGCCAAGCTTCGTTCAAACATAGTTCTGAATCAGTGGCGGGTGCGACGCACTGAGAACCAGACTGCGCCAGGCTCAGTTGGTCCTTGCGAGCCCCGTCAATCCGTGGGATCTCTGATCTCTTGATTGCTGCCGCAACATGCACTTTTTTTCTGGCTCAAGTCTTTGAAGTAGTGAAGAACTGGAAACCTAAATGTTCGATCCTCCATGCACGACTGGCACCAACAGGACAACTCTGGGAGCGCTACGCCCCGGTGAGTTGGTTTCGAGGCTTTGGGCTGAGGTACTGATGGATGAAATCCGATCGCACCACTTTGAAACTATGCGCTATGGGAAACCAGCGTTTGTTGGTGTTGACAGGGGATCATTCTTCCAAGGTTCTCAACCGGGCAGCGAAATGGATCTCGCCCATCAGTATGGCCTTGATTGTGGTTGGCTTGAGGCCCTCATTTCGATTCGGAGCGAAGCGTCACGCAAGGAAGACTTCGCTAAGCCACGCATTTGTCTCGTGGTACGGCACCAAGAGCCCATAGAGCCCTTGGGGATTCCTGGAAGGCTGAACCTTTTCGTAAGTGAGCATTGGACTTGGCTGCTCTTTGGCTGCACCCTACGCCATCGAGTGGAAAGGGAACGCTGTGCACTTCCATCCATTGTAAAGGGTTAGCTCTTCACAAGTTGCCACTGCTTGTTTGGAAGGGATTCTTCAGTGTCGCAACCCCTATGCAAACGCAAGGGGCCCTCCAATGCAAGCTCCAACCAATTCAGAATTGTCCCTCTCTCAGAGAAGACTTGGGAGAGCTTTCTCCCGCTCCTTGCCAAGGTGGCAGTGGTCTGGCTTTGGCCTTCACCAAACGCTCCTGACACGGTGACTGCTTCCTTTGCCGCTTGCTCCAAAGTGCAACACGTCTTTGCTGGGGCAAGGACAAGCTGCTGTAGGTTCGGAGCAGTGAAGCTCGGGAACCATGCCTGCGCGATTCAGCTGAACCCCACCTGAGGTTTTTTCTTCTTAAACAAGCGAACAACAACAACTATAGTTTTGCCCATAAAAGGATCCCACAAAAACAATGCCCAAGTTGACAGTGTTGAACAAATCGTGAACTGTGTGCAGGCCATGCGTGCCATGGTCATGATTCCCTTGCCAGGAACCATAATGATCCCAAAGGGTCCATGACCATGCTTAAAAACATGCAGGGATGAAGGGATCCGTTTGATCGCGGCACATGTGACTTGAGTCATAATCAAAACCCGGCATTAGAATGGTCTACCCAGAACCATGTAAATAATTAAGAAGGCGGATATCTGCAGCTATTTATGGCAAGGGGATTGTCCTTTAACCTTCATCTACCCGAATCGGTTTTGAGCAAGTGGCTCACTTGTCTTCACTTCGAAGGCGCATGGCGCCTGTGACTCCCCTGCATGCGACCCAGACCTCGGCAATCGCCAACACAAATACACGTGAGCGGGGAAAACGCACACACACACACACACACCAAAAGCGGCGGACAGCCGTGCCCATTGAAAGGGGGCCTTGGAATTCACCCGTTTCCAGCTGCACAACTGAGCTCCCTCCACTAACAGCCGTGGGTGGGGTGCCAAGGGGTCGCAAGGGAACCCGGAAAAGAGGGTGGCTCGTCCTTTTGAAGTTGATCCCCCTTCAACCACCTGTGTCGAAGTTCCCACCATGTGCAGAGATATAGATGAGCCACGGCCAATATATTCATTGCGCCCATGAGAACCCCGCCCCCCCCTTCCCTCCCCCCCGCCCCCTTCCCAATTGTATGCTGCTGAACCCCCCCCCCCCGCCCGTTGTTCCCAAGAGTCGGCAGACTCGTAGTTTGAGATTCGTGTGCCCCATCCCCTTTGCAATCGTCCCATTCACGTGCCCCAACGAAAGGGAACCAGAAATGGCTAGGATGTGTTTCATGATTCTTAAGCTGGAACTCCTTAGAACCCCAAAGTTCCTTTAAGGAGAAAGCTTAACTCTAACCCCTGGCTTCCTTTAAGGAGATAAGAGCCAAAATCTAAGCCCCGGCTTCCTTTAAGGAGATCAGCTTAAATCTAACCCGCTTAACTCTAAGCCGCCGTTTTCGTCTCGTTTCGCGCGCTAAGCTGGGCGCGCTTCCCCGCTGCGCTTCACGTAGAGCCGCCGTGTCTCCTGCAGAGCCTTCGGCGTTGGTTTGCACCCAGCGGGTTCGGTAAAACTCATTGTCGAGTGGATTGTCCACAAAACTTGAATCTTGAATTGTTAATTCCTCCCTAAAATAATCTTTCCCAAAAGCATAAGTTATGTGGATCTAGTTCCTCGAGTAGAGTGGTTAGAATAAGGGTACCAACTATTTTCTGTAGTCTATTTTAGTAGGGGAGCCCTCCCCACAAAAAAGGGTAAAAGGGCACTACTGGGGGACCTAGACTCATTCTCGAGTGGATTGTCGAAAATCAATCAACATCCCACAAAAGTGTAGAAAATCCATCAAAATTCCTCAAAATCCTACACAACTGTAGAAAATCCATCAAAATCACACAAAACTGTACACAAAATGGTCTTTCCAAGAAGCATAAAGGCCAGGAACTCAGGAAGTGAGGTAAACACGGGATGACCAATAGTTGGAAAGCCAGGAACAAATATGAGATTTCTAGCACAAGATCGGGGAACACATTGGCCAATGGACATCAGGGCCGAAGGGAAGATTTACCAACCCGCATGTCCCTTCTTGGAACAGGATCCAGATTTCCCATTGTGACCCTTCCCCACGAGTCTCGAGCAACAAGCGAAGTCTACGCGTGGCTGGCTGCTTTTGGAACACGTGGACGTCCACTTTCGCAATACGGAAAGCTCACTGACTCACGCTCGGAAAAACGTGAAGCCTGCAAATTTATGGCAGGTGGCCAGTTTCTGACCAAAACACTGCAAAGTGGCCGCTACAATCTTTGAACCCGCTGGAAGTGCCTGCAAACCCTGGTAAGATTTTGACTGGCTTGTGCTTGAAAAGTACCATGGCCATCCATGTCCTCCGCTCAAGCCAGTTGGACCGGAAACTTATACCACCTGTCCAGCATGGAAGATGGCGATCGGGTTGTGAAAGACAGTTGAAAAGGCCTCCAAATGATTCTTGAAACATCTTTGCGCCTAGACCTGCACGGTAGGAACTTGGTTCCAATTGAAAAAAAAACAAAACAGGACCCAACACCATGCAGCCTTCCCCCGACTGCTTGTGTCTAGTAACCAAAAAAGCAGTTGTTGAGACCCGGGGGTGCCGGATGTACTCTTGACTGCCTGTGGAGATTCCCCTCTCGTCTCGTTGGAAAGCGGCCGCGCCTTCATCCAGCGTGCGGTGCCCGCGTTTCTGATGGTCACGGGCCAGTAGCCTTCGCTGCAGAGACGAAGGGACACCACCTGAGCCAAACGGACGCTCAGTTGTTCAGTGACCCTGGAAAAAAAAGGAACCCTTTTTTTTGGGAAGACCATTTTTCGTGGGGCAGCCACAAAAAAGGGGAAGAAGACTTGGTGCCACTGAACAACTGAGGACGACGAGCCAGGAGCCCAAGGCCTCAAGGAAGATGAGGCGCTGTCCCGAACTGCGATGAGGAATGCAGATGAGTGTCCAATAGCGGAAAAACTGGAATCTGTGGGCCAGGGTTGGAATAACCAGATGAGTTTCCCAGATGAGTTTCCAACTGCTGGTGGGCCATAATTCTGGAATCTGGCCAGGGTGGCGAGTTAAGCCAGAAGGAATGGCGAGTTAAGCTATGAGCTAGACAGTTCACATGCGGGTTCATAAATGGGTTCACATTCAAGCTTTAAGCCTTTTTTGTCGTCCCCGCGCTTCCTCCCCCAAAATGACTATGATACGCGGGGAATCGAACTCAACCAGGCATAGGCGTCCTTTGAGGGGAAATAGATGGCCCTGGTAGATGATAAGATGATTAAACCACCAGGTAAACCAGGAATCACCCTCTATTTTTTGACCAAAACCACCAAAAAGGACACCTACCCTCCCACGAACAATCATGGAAGTGCAAAAAGGCCCTTTCCAAGAGGAAAGTAGTCTTTCTACAGGGGTCTGTGCACAAACCCACGTTAGCTGGTGGGAGGGTATGCAACCAACGCTTCGGCTCAAATTCTGGGACCACGTGAACCCTTCGCTCCGAGCTCCAAGCGTTGGCAGGCAGAAGGAGCCTCCGGAGCTCTGATCCAATGGACACGCTCGGAGAATGACTCCACTGGGTCGAAGTAGAAACCCACCGGGTCAATTGACTTGACTGATGGGTTTCCATTTGGGGAACCCTTTGCCTTTGCCATAGCGCACGGTGTCTGTTCGACGCAACGAACAAATTGGGGGGGGGGAAAGAAGGAGAAGGCCTAAATGGAAACATGGACTAAGACCCGAGGCCCGCTGGTGCTGAAAATTTTGGCCAACACCAACTTCACTGGGCCGGGCCATGAAAACAAAAAAGACCTGCTTGATTCACAGGGTGCCACTTGTTGCTGTTTGTGGGGTTTCCCAATGTGGGTGACTTGGCCAGAAATGAACCCCCCCCCGTTTCTGAACTCATTCCTGGGTTGCAAACCCGGTTTGCCCGTTTCCGGTCCAGCCATGCACCCACAGCTCAAGTTCGATTTCCCTTTTGGATAGGTTCATCCATGCAACTTTCGCCAGATTCCCTTGGCTGCAGGACATCACGGATGTTCCGTTGGAATGAACCTGAAAATTCCCTGCGGAAACCACCAGTTGGACGGTTTTTCTCGGGGTCCTTCCAGTTCTCATTCCCTGAGCACTAGCAAGTCTTGTCTCGGTTGCTTTATGCTCCCCTAAAAGTTTTCAACTTTTAGTGGTTGAGTGAAGGGAAAACCCATTTGGCAAAAAGTTCTCAAGTCCTAACAGCCCTTGGCAAAATGCACCAAAGCTTCGGTTTCCCTTTTGAACCAACCCAACAAACCAATGGGTTGTTTCTTGGGGTCATTCCAGTTCTCATTCCCCGAGCACTCGCAGGTCTTCTTCACCGCCCAGCCTCGCCCCAGCTTCCGCTTCCCGGCCTTGGGAAGAGGACCGTTTCCATTTCCTTGGACTCGTACTCCAAGGTCACGTGCACGCGCACCGGCTGCTTCGAGTCCACCTCGCCAGATCTTGGGCGAGGGGGCGGTGGGTCGGAACGCGGGTGAAACCTCTGGTGAACGTCAAAGTAGGTGGCGAAAATGGGTGTTCATCCGCCCCGAAATGGCTCGGCATAGGTTATGACTCAATGACTCATGGCCATTTGCCACCAGCTGTTGGCAGAAGAGTGTTGAATTCCACTTGGCAGACTCAAAACAGTAGCGCAGACTCAAAAAGGAGCAGTGCCCAAAACCCTTTGACCCTGTGTTTCTTAGTATCCTATATACCTCGAACAGCTAAGCTTGATCTCCAAAAAACGCCACGGTTGAAGGTTTACAGGCTTTCCCACCTATCTTATGGTGGCCAAAAATTGAAATCCTCAAACCCCACAGGGCCAGGGCCTCAATGGCCTCGATGCAGCGATGCCTGTCAGGCAGTCGACGCATTTAATTTCGCGCTTTTCGTGGTTGCCGCAAAGCGCAGGAAGAAACGCGAAAAGGAGGGGTTTCTTTGATTTCCGAACTGTTTCCGCAAGGTGGTGGTTCCTACATAAACGGCTGGGAGTTCTGTTGCAGCTGGAATTTCTGAAGCCTTCCCGGCATCGCATTGCTGAAGTGTCGGTCCTGGTGTACCGTTCTTCCGTTGCCGCTGCCCAGTGTTTGCGTGAGATGAATGGTTTTCTGCGACAGGCTTCACAAGTGCAGAGCCTGTGGCATGTTGGGGTTCAAATGTCGCACAACCCTCAGCCGCTTCCCCCGTCCTGGCAGCAATTGCGTAGAGGTGGCGGAAGGCCTTGGTAGTCCACACACATGGCATTTTGCGAACAAGATCAATCGAATCATTTGCACTTACACACCTGAAATGAGGTGAAACCGGTGGCGCACCATGCGAGGTCGTTCTTTTTTTTCCGCTGTATCTCAAGAGTCACGCGAATGGAGAAAGACTCTCAACCAACGTCTGCTGAGCATACTCAGGGGTGGTGCTTGTTTTGCGGGATTCCACACCGAGGTCCTCCAGTAGAGAGGTTAGAATAAGGGTACCCTTTTTTCTGTAGTCTATCCTAGTGGGGGAACCCTCCCCCCAAAAAGAAACGGTAAAAGGGCACTACTGGGGGGACACATTGGTCCGGATGAATGTCATCACGACGATAGCGACGCCAAAAGGGTGGGATCCAAGGGATGAGTGGAACGTGGCCAGAGCGGTGAGGAAGACGGGCTGGGGTGACAGAGTTGTTTGGAAATTGCATGGGATAAGACCGCTGAGGTCAGGGTTGCTCACAAAAGGGGCACTTTGTGTGCTAAATCATATCAACAAAAGGTGTCTATGTGTCACGAACTAGGGGTTCTTGGCGTAAAGTCTCTGACGAACTTTGATTACTTGAGCATTGACACGCGCGGTGTCTGCCTCATGGACAAATCTGGACAAGGCTCCAGGATGGGCCCAGGACCACCACCTTGTTGCGCTTGTAGTTTGGTCATGTGAGATTCAAAGAAAGCACCCTTGTCCCAGGAACTGCTTTTTGAAAACCCGAAACTTACGGATTTCGGACCAGTGATTTCAGCAGGAGGTGCTGGACGCGAAATGACCCGGGAAACCTGTCCCCAGGGCCTCCCCATTGGGTGGAAGGACAGTGGCTTGGAATCCCGCATCCATCTCTCTGCGTTGGTTGCGGTTGCTGAGCCCTCTGCAAACAGAGTGTCCACCTGCTTGTGGGTCGGAAAATCCGATCCGTTTCACCCAACAAGTAGATCCGCCAAATTGCCATAAAGCAAGTGGTTGGGTAAAAGGGACCACCACAACAAGCCAAGCGACTGGGACAACTCAAAGGTTTCCTGGGGCCCGCGCTTGCAAGTGACAACGGTTGTCCACCAAGGCGATGGGCAAGCGAGGGAATGCTGCCTTGGAGACAGCCACATTGTCACATTGTGGATGACCAAAATGGGTGTGTCTCAGAATAGTGAAACCCCATGGAACCCCGAAATGCATGGTTTCCTTGTAGTTTCCCTTTAAAACCATCCAGAAAGGCCACCAAAAACACACACACACACACACCCCGAAAACATGAAGCAAATTGGGGAGAAAATCTGGGCATGCCATTTTGAGGGTGTCCAACTCAGGGTTGATATAAAGGGAAATTAACAGAAAAGAAAAACATCGTGGGGGTTGCCACATTTTGAGACAAAGCTATATTACAATTACATGTCAGGGCATGTGGTTGCTTCCCTCGCGATATTGGGAGCCCACCTTACTTTATGGAACCATCGCCATTGTTCTTCTGTCGCCTCTTCTGAAAGGTAGCCAGTAGCAGTGGTTCAACCCTGGACACAGCACACACACACGCACTCACACATTCACATTCACACGTACTATGGATGGGCAAAGAATCCTGCCGCCGTTGGGATGCGTGAACTTTCATGAAACCTGGGCTAAACCACCTGCAGTCACAGTCTTTTGTCCATGCATGGCAAGGCCTCCAGCTGAGCTCGAAGCCATCAGCAAGGCCGCGATGGACAAAGGCTCCTGTCGTTCTTTTCAGCGACCCGCTTTGGTACTTCGGCGAGCTGCAAGCAAGACAGTGGCGATGCCAAGATGGTGTTCACCAAATCTCACCCCCCCCCCAAAAAAAAAAAACAACAACAACAAACAACGAGGCGCATGCCCTTTGCACAGTTGCTTTTCACAGGGATCCCCAAAAAATGCCAGCTTTCCTTCTGTTGGCTTCCCTTTAAACCAAAGTAAAAACGATTACTTACCGTTTTTCAACAGCACACACACACACACGCACCCACGACCATGTCAACTTGGGACATACTCAGCGGTTGAACCCCCCCCCCCCCTTCATGTGGGAGCCTCTGGAGTGGTGCAGTCCTAAGGCTCACCCCATTCTGAAGGAGCCTTCGGGAGGTGAGGGTATTCGGAGTGGTGACCAAAAAAAAAACACCCAAACTAGGTCCTCCAGATTTGAGAGGTTAGAATAAGTTGGTGCCAACTTTTTTCGGCTTTGTCTATTTTAGTAGGGGAACCCTCCGACCAAAAAAATGGGTGAGAAAGGGCACTACTGGGGGACCTAGAAAAGGATACCAACCATTCTTTTGGGGGGTCCCCTATTTGAGGACACCCCCCAGGTTCCTCTTGACCTTGCGCTTGCGGCCTGGTCGAAGGTGTAGCGCCCAGCACCCAGACACAGCCAGCCGATGGCCATGTGCGTGGCCATGTGCACACCATAACCTGGATGTGTGTTGCAATGTTTAAACATACTGCGCTTTATTTGGAGGGTATCCCCTTCAGCTTGATTTAAAGGGAAAACGAAAGGGAACACACTTCAGTCATGATCAAACCGACTATCAAAATTGCCTACCCAAATACAAAGAACTATAAAGGCTGAACCAATTTATTCCCTTACTAATCTTGATCTGCCACGGTTTTGATTGTGGCTCACCTGGGCTTGGCGAATGTTTAAACATCTCTGTGTTTGTATTTGCACGGTATCCCTTTCAGGTTTGATTGAATAAGGAAAACACAACTAAAAGGAACACCACCTTTTCAGAGAATCGGGCTCAGGTAAGTACAAAACCAGGTGGGTATGTGGTTTTCAGAGGCTCGGTATCATGTTTTAGCTTGTTTCAAAAGGGAGAGGTGAGCCAGCCTTTTTGAAGGCCCCCTATTTTGACCCCTACCCATCTAGACCCTGGTCGCCTGCATGCGCACAGCAACAGGCCCAACCTGATAACCTGCCAATTCAACGGCTTGCCAAGGACTTTTGGCTACAGGTTGATAAACGAGACCTCGCTACAATCCCAAATTCAAGCATGTCTAATCAAACTGTCTTGGGAAAATAGATAGATTCCACTGGCAAATTCTTGGAACACGAACTGACCGAGGGCACCTGCAAGACGTGGAATCGACACTCAGCTGCTCAGTGACCCCTTCTGGGTTGATCATTCGTTCCCAGCAAACTTTCGCGAGACATAACTTCTTGGGTTTCGTACTTCCAGCAGAAATCAACCCCAGTTTTGCTAGTAGGGCGTGTCCCACTGGGTTTAGTAGGGAATCAAACCACTTTCGAAAAAGCCCCCACCCCCCTAAAAGAAAAACTAGTGGGTTAATTCATCTGGGGTCAACATCAAGTTTAGAAGACATCGATGAATTCCACAGTTGGCTGGGCATAGGTGGCCTTTTGGAAAAAAAAGATGGGTTCCCCTGGCAAATGGACCAAATCCCATCTTAACCAGTGGCTTGCCCATCTATTTTTTAACCAGGCTCACCGATCAAAATGGACACCAAAGCACGCTGGGCTTTATCCACCAACAAGTTGGGTCACCGAGTTCCGACCCGCCTGTGTCGCTGCCGGCTTTCTTCCGCAGGCTGCGCAGCAGCCGCAGCGCCGCCAGGTCCCCTGCAGGCTCGAGAAGCAAGGGTGGGTGAGGTTTCCGTTGGGTTGAAAGCAGGAAAACACTTCAGGTGTTGAGTGACCCTGGAAAAAAAGGGAACCCTTTGTGGGGAAGACCATTTTTAGTGGGACCAAAAAAAGGGGAAAAAGGGTGCCACTGAACAACTGAGACACGGGTGTCAGGGGTTCCGTTTGAAACACTCAACCAGAATCCCCGTTTCCAAATTTCGATCTGAAACGCTCAACCAGGATGTCCCCTTTTCCAAATGTGGACATATTGTTGGCTTCTTCTTGACAAAAACAAGCCAAGCAGATCCCTCTGTTCTGGACAACCCATCCCTTTGGCATATGTGATCCTGTCAGATTGGAAATCCGAAGCTCCCATGGATGGACATCAGAGCAATGGCCCGCCAGAAATCTTCTGGGTATGCGATTCAACTTGCTCAGAGTACTGTGGTCGGAGGTTTGTTTCCGTTCCCTCTGAAACCGATTCCAGTGGTGTCCAGGCTGATTCTCGTGAACGCGGACATGCAGCGGGACAATTGGATTGCTTAGCCTATGGTTTGACTACGTCTGGGTCCATCATGGTACAAAGGAAAATCAACCCTGTGCACAACTTTGAGAACCCCGCAACATGCTCACTTTCCAGGACCCAGAAATTACCCCAGATTAACATGGACCCAGAAAACAATCACTTGCTCTCTTCTTGAGTGGATAAGCCAAACAAGTCCTTTTTCTTGTTTGACACTAAAAAGGTCTTTCGAAAAAGTGCAAAGTCCAGGAACTCTGGGAGTGAGCTTGTAGAGCCTCCTCGTTGGTTGCTTCCGTGCAAAGTGCAGGTGAGTTGTTGGGGCTAAGTAAGCACACACATCATCCCATGATCATGACTGAACTTGACTTCGAAGTCCCCCACTCTCGTTGTTTGGCCCCGATCAGGAGCCACAGTCTTGTTGAGGGACACGGGAAACTTAGCTTCCATCTCCTGGTTTTTGGTGAGTCCCCCCTGTCCATTGTCTGCTGGACCATTCTCTGATGGACATCTTGAACCTCGTATAGCTTCTCCTGTCCATCCCCAATGGACAATTTGTCTGATGGACATTTCTCTCTTCTTGAGTGGGCCAAACAAGTCGATTTTTTTGCGTGCCACTAGAATGGTCCCAACCCAAAAAGCGACCAAACTCACCATGAACTCGGGGAGTGAGCTGATTTTTGACACCTCGTAGGTCGGGATAAAACAAAAACAAAAAACATGCCCATAGGATGATGTGTGTCATGATCAGTCACCCCGCCTGTGCCGGCCATCACCATGCCCAAGGCGAAGGCCACCGCAGATTGGCAGGTCTCCAACGTGATGCGGTCCAGGTCCATATCTGGCAGACTCTCACTGAACTTTGGAGGTCTGGGTGTGAGGACCCAACAAATTGAGGGGGGGGTTTTCCTCTTGGTTCCCGCGGTTTCCTCTTGATTTCCCTTTCGGAATTTTATGTTAACCTTGATTTTGACTCTTCCTGTCGGAAAGGATGTGAACCTTTACTAGGTCCTCCAGTAGAGGGGTTAGAAGAAGGGTAGCAACTTTTTTCTTTCAGGACGTCTTTTTTAGTAGGGGAACCCTCCCAACCAAAAAAGGGGTGAGAAAGGGCACTAATTACTGGAACACCCAAACAACTGTGGGTTTGCAAAAGTGAGACTTTACCACTAACATTATATATTTACCACCAAAATGGTTGGTTTACTACAAAAAGTGGACAACTTATTGGTTCACCGTTCATTTTGCGGCGGAGTGAGTCCGATGCCACATGGCAACCCCCCCGTTCACCCCCCGCCTGGCGTGGGCTTGGAGGCCATGAGCGCAAAGTGCGCCTCCGAGCGCGGGAGGTCCCGAAACTCCAGGAGCCTCGGCGAAACGACGACAGACTCGACACGGCCGTGGAGGAGAACCTGAAAAACCGAAGTCAACCTGAAATAAGGGATCTGTAAGGTAAGTAAAGGATCTTTACCATGAGCTCGACTTCCATTTGCTTTTTCGCCCCCCCGGGACAAAAGAAAAACACACATATATATATATAATATGTCCAGTAGTGATAGATTCGCGTCAAAACCTACCAGGGAAAATTAAACATATTCTTAAGCAAATGGAAGCATGTCACTGGACTTCCCTTCAAGGGTCACTGGAACAGGGGGCATGGCACAGGCATGGACATGTCCTGACTGTCATGGAATTTGGGTCACTGGAGATGTTTTTGTTTCTTGTTTTTTTTTTCCTGGGAGAAGCGCGAAACGCGAGCTCAACACTCATGGGCGTCTCCTCCAAATGTCTTTGTGTTTTACAAGGGCCAGGGGTCACTGGATATTTTCGTGATCAAAGGTTTTGGATGCTGTCCAACTATATTTTTGGCGTGCGGAAACACAGGCAACCAATCCTATAAGGGACCAGCCGTTAAGGAACCATGCAGGCCGAAGGTTACACTCGTTTTCTTTGTGCTTTTGGAAGCCTCCAAAAGGGAAATGGTTCGGAACCCCTCTGGAACCGGCCGAGCAGAGGCAGGGCACCATGGCACCCAGAAAATGGCCCTGGGTGAATGGCCCAAACACTCAGTCAGATTCCATGTTAGGGTATCTTCTGAAACCAACCAAAAACTCCTGTCTTTGATTCTCCAACCTTGAAATGTAAACTCACTTCCACATACAAACCGCGAAAAAATCGGACTTGGGCAGCCGCTCCTGTCGGATAATTTAGGGGGGAGTAAGTTAGATTTTAGCTCCTGCCCAAGGGTTCTAGCTTGACATGGGTATGGCTCAAAATTTTCAAGAGCCGGGGCAAACCGCGGGTTTGAGTCTTTGGTTCCATTTGCCAGGGCGCCAATTTGGTACCACTTTTCTGAGCCACAGCCCATATAGATTTGCAACTCAGATCCATCTCACCGAAAGATGTGTCACCATGGTCCAACACCCAGAAGGTTTGAAGTCCAACTCGGGGAGTGGGTCACTTGGCGTTTTTTGTTGTTTTTTGTTTGTGTTTTTCTTCTTTGTTTTTCTCGTTTTTTTTTCCCCTTATTTTTTTTATTTTTCTTTTCTTTTTTTGCGAAGAAGTTGCCACGTTTCGGGGGGATGTCGCATAAATTCCAAACCCAAGTCCAAAAGGAATCAGGGCACTGATTTTTGTGGTAACTACTCGAGGGGTTGCTGAATTCTCAATTCTCCAGGCCCAAATCTCTTGCCGCAAGGCTTGGGCCGCGCTTCGTGCCGCATCCATTTGGGGTATGGAGAGGTATGCAGAGGGTATGGAAGGATTTAGCCTGTCAACTACGTGGTTCTTTTGAGTTCGATACCTCCGTGCAACCTCGTGGCCGAGGCAACTAGTTCAACTCAGGTTGACACAAACTCGAAGGTTCCGATTCGGTACATCACGGCCTTCACACAAAGCGACTAAAGGGCACCTAGGTCCCTTGGTTCCTTGGAGTAAAAGGTATTGAGTACCTGGCGGTTCGGCCAAGTTAGTAAGTGGTTCGCCAACCCACTTTTGACAGGGTTACTTACGCTTCGGGGGACTCATGAGTGGGCTATAAGTCATAAATAACCCGTTTGCCGTTGCAGCTTACTAACTTGGCGAACCAAACACCCAAGTATAGGCACCCTTCACATGGGCGTTCCTTGTGCTTCTTTCATCCAACATCCAACCCCCCAACACAATCTTCACCATTCTTTCCCCTCTTTCCTTTGTTGGGGCTTCTTTTTGGTTTCGCGCTTTTCGGGGGGGGGGGTGGTTCGTGGCTTTATATTTTTCCAGGGGGGGGGGGGTTCGTCACCCTCAGCCGAGGGCAAGGGCTCCAAGAACCCCGCGGTGGGTTCGCCCGCGCCCCGCGCCTGGCGATGAGGAGCTGCTTCGCGGCCTTGTTGGAGGACCCGGCGAAGCGCAGGCCCAGCGCCTCGGAGTCGACTTGAAGCGGTGGAGGAGCGGAAGCGAGCCGAGGGGCCGGTGGGTGATGTGGGTGATGTGGGTGATGCGGGCCACCACCCAGTGGTGGGTGGGTGGGTGGTGGGTGGCACTGGTTCGAGTTGGCTTTGGGTGGAACAGTTGCAATTGTGTCAAGGAGCCATGGGCTCTCGGATGTCTCTCTGCCCATGTGGGCACGGTATCCGCCCACGAACATGGACCCACCAAAGGGGAAACTGGTCCAGGATCCCCAGTCAGCCCCCTCGGACAACCCCTCCCTTGAGGCTTCGGCCAGGCATGCACCTCCCATAAACGGCTCGCTCATGACAAACCCTCTGCGTGGAAACCTCAACCGTCTCCTCCTTATGTGGCAACGGATGGCTACCCCTCAGTCGCTCGTCCCCGAAAAAACTCAGCCAGACGTGTTGACGAATTCGCCGTGGCTGGAAGACTCCAAGTCGCCAAATGGGCATGATTGTTGCGCGGTAACACTTGCCACGATGGGGAGCATGCATTCGAATGATGTCCACCAACACATTCCACACAATTCATGAACTCCATGGCTGCAATTTGTAGGATTCAGATCCTCTCCCCTTACCCCCCTCCCCCCACTCAAAAGCTCCTCAATTATTGGGGTCTGATTTCATAAGAAAAATAACAGGTAGAGGGGTAGGGGAGGGAGAGTTGGGATCTACCAGGTATTGAAGCACCCAAACTCCCAGCGCCTGCTGTAAGACTGGCCTGCCACAAGCGGCACGTGACACCGAGCTGGTTGCTTGCTGCTTGCTTTCGAAGGCCTTCTTTGTCTTACACCCTGGGAACAACAAATCCAACCAATCGGGAAATTATCGCGTTTGAGGCTTCCAGAATAAACATGGGTCACTTCAGAGTGCAATCCCAGGGTGTAATACAAAAAACAAGAACGCATTCGACCGTGGCATGGCCCGACCTTGGTTTGGCCCACGAGCAGCCAATCCACGTCAGCCTGCGAGGTGTTCTTCCAATGGACATGACAAGTTTGGCCATCTGAGAAGCTGTCAGTGTTGCCAAGCTAGTGGCTTCATGCATGCCGAGCTGCATTACTGGTGTCCAGGTTGAACAAGAAGCCTGGAGTCTGCCTGGCACAGAGAACAGCGGCTTCGCGGATTCAGTCTTCTGGAATTTGCCTCTGGAGCCACTCCTCCGTCGGCTCGATCCGGTCCCACCTCAGAGCTTTGAACATGCCGCGAGGGGAAACAAGCAGGCAGGAAAAGTAGGGGGGATAAGGGTGGAGCCCGCCAATAAAGAAGGGTGATGGTGAGGTACTGGGAAACATCCACCCACATCCCTCCACATCTCTGCGAAATAATTCAGTCCGCCCATTCGAGTGCCCTGCAGGATCAAGTTCTGTGCCAGAATGCGCAGCAGGGCGAAGTCCGGCCCTGACCAATTTGCAGGCCCTCCCTGACCCGGAAAACAGGATTCCTCACCCCCAGTGGCCGCGGGGAAAAACGATTTGCTGGTTTGCTTTGGAAGAACCAACCCAACAGCTGGAAAACAGCACTAATTATCGATTCCAGAGGACGCCAACAAAACACCTGGTTTTTTAGCCCACCGATTTTCCCAAACCAGGAGCTTGGCTTTAAGTAAAACCAAGCCCACGTCGAACCTCTCCCAGATTATTTGGGCCCTATGCACTGTCTACGTATTCTGGCTCAAGGAAACAGCGTGCGGGTCGGGTCAAATCCCTTAAAAGGTCCCGTGGTTCGTGGTGTTTGGATCTTCTGGTTGGGTGTGTTTGTGTGATTAGGCATATATTCCCTACAACCCCCTTCAGTCAAAAGGAGTCCGCTGGGGTGCCCGGGCGCAGGTGCTCCAGCTGGAACCTGAGCGGTTACCGGCAAATGTCTCCAATTGATTTGGTCATAGCTGCGGATGGCTGCGACATCGGTTCGCGCCACTTCGGAACCATAGGAAGCCATTTAGGATATTTGCAGGGAATTGCACCATTCCAGGGTTTCTTAGGTGGCGTGAAATGGATTTCGTTCGTTCACAAGCAGGTGTATGTGGGTGGGTGATTCGTTTAAGCTACCCCGACAGGTCTGTTCTTGGAAACCAAACGAACACCAAAAAAATGATTCCATACTTTGAGACATGCGAGCACAGAATGGGCAAAGCTTTGCTGGCAACCCTTTTGGTCCTGCAAATGTCTGCCCCTGACCAATGCAGCCAGGACAAAACAAAAAGACAGGAAACGCAACAAACGCAACCAAATTGACATTTAACTCATTGCAGCCCCATGTCTGGTAGACACAGGACGTTACAGTGAGAAAATGACAAAATGTGGGAAACGCATTCGTACAAACAACGTTACATTTGCAAATGTAGCGGGTAGTCATTTTATACACATGCAAGCAAGGGGAACACATATATATATATATACATACTTGTATACATACGTGTATATATATATACATATATATACATATATATATATATGTATGTATGTATATCCTACCTTTCACTAGTCTAGATGGACACATATATATATATATATATACACATGTGTGCAGTATGGGTCGCACCAAATGGACCAAATGGAACCCTTCCGATCTCCGGACTTCTCCAAAACCCCAAGCTCCTGGCAAGTTCTGGGGGATCGCCACGCGCGAGGCCACTGCCTCCGAGTTGGTGCCTAGGCCGCCGCGGTCACGTGAGCTTCGAAGCTGACATCAAATCATTGGACTGGGCGGCCCGCTTTCAGATCCGGATCGAAAGTTTAACTTTTGGTGAGTTGAATGGAAATCCCCAGTAAACACTCAAGAGCTAAAAGCTAAGGGGATGGCTGGGAGCCACCAAGCAGAAGTGCCTGGTTATATCCCACTGAACGGAGACTTAAAACCATGGTAACTGGTAGCCATGGCTATACCCACTTACTAAGTACCCTGCCCATTCAAGCAAAAGCCCCTTGGACCTCGTTGCTGCGACCCGTGGGGGGTTCAAGGTCCTCGTATTTAGTTGTGTGAAATACCCAACACAGGGTAATTATAAGACTTGGCTTTAAACATATTGTTATAATTCCTGATCGTACAATCATGTGTTTTCTTTTGAATGGCGCCAATAAGCCAAATTATGATGACCATTGAATCACCATGTTAATTTGTACTTATTTAGGCCCTTATGTTCCCGGCAATACCTCAACAGAAACACCCCATGATGTTTTCACCATTTTTGTTTGGGTGGTCAGCTTACTTAGGCTATGCCAAGCGGAAAAAGCCAGACCCCGTCCTAGCAATAACCATGGTAAGCCACTAAAGTACGTCGAGGGACCCAATTCCCCGCAACCACGAATGTCCGAGAGGCCCAGGCCGTTTGACGTCTTCCCAAAGAAATCCCACCGCAAAAGGACAGAACATGGTCCAAGGGAGCGCTAGTATGTTGAGGCAGGGTGAATAGGGACCCCACATACGACAAAATCAAAGTTCTTCACCCTGGGTCTGCATGTTCCTGACTTGCAACAACTGGGCTGTTCTCAGATTCCCTGCTACAAGTTTAACTTTTGGGCTAAATGGACACCCTCACTAACTGAGAAGCTTAAAACCTCAGGGGGACGGCTGGAAACTACCAGGAACTCGAACAATTTCCAGCCGCGGGGCCACAGCTTCTGGACACGACGCGAGCCAACGATTGAGCTATCAACCACTGGCTCTCTGTAGCGACCGTGGAATCATGCAACGGCAACCTTCCGGGGAGCATGACGCGTTCAGGGCACCATGGTTGTGGAAAATCCGGGTGAAACCAAAGTAAACCATCCCAAACAATCCTTGGTTGCTTTCTGCTCCTGCTAAAAGTTTAACTTTCAGTGGCTTAATGAAAAACCCATTAGTTGGCAACAAAAATAAAGTTCTAACATCCAAGCGAAAAGCACCAAAGAATCCGTACGCAATGTGTCACATTTACCTTCGACATGGGCCAAATTCTGGTGTTTCCTACATAGATCGTGTGGGCATGCGAATATGACTACCTTACGCGATGTTTCCTTTCTCGCAGAAACTTGGCCTACCCCCTTGTTTCCAACCGACACGAACAAACAAAGTGCCACTTTCCTGTGCTCCAGGTTTTTGCTAGTGGTACCTCCTGCGTGCGGTTGCCATGATCATTGTCTACCCCGATTCAACTCATCTGAGTGACTTGGAGAAATCAGCGACGCACCCAAATAAAACACATGTTCCCTCTGGACCGAACCTTCATCTAGGTCCTGCAGTAGAGAGGCTAGAATAAGGGTACCCTTTTTTCTGTAGTCTATTTTAGGGGAACCCTCCCAACCAAAAAAGGGTGAAAGGGCACTACTGGGGGACCTAGTCATTCCGTGCGAGGTTGCGCGGTCGCGCAGAAGAGCGCAAGCCACATGCTTGTTCTCAGGATCGAGCGCAAGAAGATCAGCGCCAGGGCAATGCACCCCGCCGGGCCGGTGATGCAGGTGTTGATGCCCTCAGAGCAAATCTGAGGCTTTTTCAACATGCAGGGAACATCCAGGAACCCACAAGCTACTGTGGATGGACAAAATCCGTTTGCACCACGAACTGAAACCATGGTTGAATTCCAGGGTTTCTGAACGGTGGTGAAGGATTTTGTTCATCCACAGTCTTATGCGCCCAGGAGACAATATGTGTGGTAAAAGCCTCCTCCTTCGGCATTCCCCTGGTGGTCCATGATCTGGTTGCACCAAAACCACTTGAGCATCCTCCAAAACCTGACTTGTGCAATGTTATCATCATGGTTGAAAAACTGTTTATGCAGACCTTACTTCGAACCCATTTTGAATGGGCAGGCACCAATCCACCTGGTGCGTCTCACTCTTGTGCCAGCTTTGCTTGAATAGGGAAGCAAGGGGTCGGGAATGGGCTTGGCCCAATGAAGTTCCTGGGGGCTTCTAATTGAAGACCAGTTAAGACATTTGCGGCTGACCTGAGTCGCCGAGACAAAGGTCAAACATAATAGAGCATTTACTCCAAACATGAAGCACATCACCAACTTCTTCAGGTCCAAGATGGTCCAAGCTCTCTCAGTGAGGAAAACCTCATCTCAGAGAAAAAAACTCACCAAGACATTTGGCTGTGAGTCAAAACCAATGGTACCATTTTGGGGTAGGTGCACCCGTCTATTTTCGTGGGAATTGGGAAATTTCACTGGGGGTACGATTTGGATTTTGACCCATGGCCATTTACGTGGCAACAAGGTTTTTTTCAACTTTGCCGGGAAGTTGGGCGCTTCCTCACCGAGGAGATGCTGTCAAGGGTGGCGTGGCAAAGCCCAATTTCGCCAAGGTTTTAAAAATGGATCTGCGAAGTCGACTACATCCGCTCAGCTTGGCTGGAATAGGGGCCCCAGCAAAAACACTTTTCTTTTGCCTGGTTCGTGGAAAGCAAAAGGAACCCTGAAAGAAGAAACAAAAAGAAAGAAGAAACAACATAAAATAAAAGGGGAACTAAGTCCGGGAAAGTAAAAAGGGCCGACCGCTTTCTCTCCAAAGGCTATGCAAATCTTCGTGGGGGCGAGCTTCTGCGAAACCTGATTGGCCTTTACAGAGCTCAGCAAAGCTTTCTGGAGACTCCACCAGAAAGCGCCAACCCTGTAGGTGTGATTTTTATACAGGGGGCCCTCCCAAACTAGTCGCCCGCTCCCAAGCGACGCTACAAAGACCCTCCCCAAAAATGGTGAGGCTTCCTGGTGGTTTCCCTTTAACCCCCATCCAAAAAAGGGGGTACCAACTCAGAAAAAGATGAGCCACCCATTGGCTTTTTGCCATGCTTTTTGCCCTGGCCTCAGGCTCGTAGAGCTGGCACCCCGTGTCTTGACTTCGCTTGGCTTCGCGGGTGGCGACACCTGGCGCTGATGCAACGATGGAGCCTTCAGAAGCTGGGCTGCCCGTTTTCGGGTCCCCCGCTAAAAGTGACTAACTTTTAGTGGGTTGAATGGAAACTACCACTCAACACTAAAAGGCTAAAAGGCTAAAAGGCTAAGGAACCGGATGGCTGGGAGCCACCAAGGAAGGGGTTCCCCTCATTGTGTGTGTGTGTGTGTCTTCGTTTCAGGGGGACCCTCCCACGAACATGACGCTTTTCCTTTTGGTTTCCCTTCAAATCCTTCTCTGAAACAATTTGGCAAGGGCACATGGGGGGAGTGGGGGAGGCGTCTGAAGAAACAAATATGGGTGAAGAGAATGGAAAAGGAGTCGACCCTTGGACACGTGGACTATTCACACGGGGGGGCCCAGTTTCAACGGACGGCACTCGCACCCAAGCCACTGCTTGTTGGACGTCTTTGGGAAATTTTGGACATGGGAAGAAACAGTTGTTGGGGGGTATGGATGAGAGACCCATTTTTCTCCTGCACCCTCCCGCCCCCAGAGAAAAGGTCCTGTTAATGCTGACCCCGGATTCATCAAACCCAGTTTATTCATATGGGGGTGTTCCCCTCCAAAAGTGAACAATCCCCACTAAAACCAGAAATGGACACCCCCCATATTAATACACAAAATTAATTAATAGGGGGTTTTCATTAGAGGAAACTCGCGCAGTCCTCTTTGAGAGGCAAACCTGTGACCGTTCTTCGACCGACTCGACTCGACTCGGGTCTTCGGTCGCCTGGCATGGGCATCTCAGGGCCGCCGTGGATATAGCCTCAGCTTCCGATCTGAGTGCCAGGCACTGCACCAGAGGTTGGAATAAGGGCACCAACTTTTGTTCTGTCTCTTTTAGTAGGGGAACCCTCCCCAAAAAAAGGGGTAAAAGGGCACTACTGGGCGGACCTAGCAGATATCATTCTCTCTAGATACATGCTTTGTCCTGCTTACCTATCTGTAAGCTTCCCGCGTTCCATTTGGGTCTTGAAAGGAAAACGGGGCTTGCCACTGGATTTCTCGCGACTGGGCTGCCGTGCGCAAGAGCCAGGTGTCCAGCCTCATGGCGGCGCGGCGAGAACTCTTCTCCAGTCGTCCCAGACCAAACCCCTGTTTATTAATATGGGGGTGTCCATTTCTCGTTTTAGTGGGGATTGTTCACTTTTGGAGGGGAACACCCCCATATTAACAAACCGGGGTTTATTCATCCGGGGTCAACATTAACCTGGAACATGACCTTTCGGGGTCCCAGCTTAGACCATCTTCCTTTCAGTCCGAGCCTCTGGTCTCTCTCCTTGAGTGGACGGGCCAGAACAAGTCCGAACTTTTTTGTCTTCCAAGATGGACACCACACCCCCGAAAAGCGCCTAAAGTCCCAAAACAAAAGCTTTGAACAAAAAACGAACGCAGGGAGTGAGACACCAGCTTCTTTGTTCTCCAAACCCAAAAAAACATCCGCGAGTCCATTCTTTTTCCAAACCAAACCAAACCAAAAATTCCAAAATTCCAAAACAAAATTATTTTTCCGCGCAGCTTGGGAGGCGAGCGCTCCGCTGGGCCCGCGGCTGCAGATCCGCCAAGCCCGGGGCGTCCGAGCCCTGGCCCAGGCACACGCAGCCCAGGGCGAAGCCTGGCGCTTCGGCTCCAGAAGGAAAATCATGTTTTTTTTTTCTCCCATTGTTCTTTCTATTTTAGGTTCCCGTTTTTTCTTCTTCTTTTTTTGTTTTTGTGTTTTGTTTTTTTGGTTCGCCCAAGGACGTTGGCAAGAGAAACACCGTGGCTTCTTTCCTTTTTTGGTGTGTTTTCTTTCAATGGTAAAAACACCGCGACTTCTTCTTCTTTTTTTTTTTTTTGTGTGTGTGTGCTTCCATTCCATGTTCTTCCATTCCATGTGAGTTGGAAATGAAACACTGAGCCAACCTTTTCCCAGTGCTGCCTTCGGCCCAGTGCTGCCTTTGGCTCAGTGCTGCTTTTGGCTCAGTGTTTATTTTGTTTTTTTCATGTTTTTGTGGCAAACACATGAAGATTTATTTCCAGTAGCGATAGGTTCCCTTTAACAGCAGGTCACTTCCCATCGAGTGGTTTGGTCAGAACAAGTCTGAGCTTTGCAAGAACAAGTCACTCCAAGCTGTTTTGGTATTTGCCCGAAAAATGGTCCGAACCCAAAAAGTTGAAAGTCCATGAACTCAGGAAGTGAGTCAAACGAGTTGGCAAGGAAATCCAGTTCCTCTAGGCGTCCATTTAAAGCCACAGAACAACAGGGGGTCCCAACTCAAAAAAAGACACGCCCAAATCCGAATGGGTTCGGGAAAGGAACTAGGTTTTACTGTCAGCTGGCCAAGGTGTCGTTTTGGGAATGGATTCCACTGGCTCAGAGATGCGCGTGCGCGCAAGTGGAAACACAACAATGGAACCGTTTGAGAAAAACAATAGCTTCCACTGGAAAGGAACTCAATTCTGCTGTTTTCAGCTTGCCAAGGTGTCGTTGGGGAAACATGGACGGACTCAACTGGTAAGTTTTTGGAACTGAACTGAATCCCCCTACTTTTCAAGCGAACTGAGACTCCAAAGGACACCTATGGCCTGACAGGCTCACAAAAGACACCCCCCTATAGAGCTGTGTATTTTTTGAGAAACCCAGAAAACGGATCTGATTCTTCCAGACCTATTTAGACCCGCCCAGATAGAATTCTGCAAAGGTTCCCTTGGCGCCTTTCCTGGCCGCTTGGCTCGGCCACGCGCCGATTACAGGAAGCGATGGAATTCTGAGGGAGCTCCCTTGTAACTTGATGGCTCCCAGGCATCCGGTTCCTTAGCGTTTTAGCTTTTTAGTTGGTTTAGTGGTTGAGTTTCCATTTAACCCACAAGTTAAACTTTCAGCAGGGGATCAGAGAACGGACAGCCCAGTTAAGTTGCGTTCAATGGGCGAGGAAAGGAATAGTCATGCACTCCTGCACCAAACACAGTGGGTCGGATATGGTGATTTGGGTGCGTCTGTTTAGTGGGTTTTCAAGGGAATTTAACAGGAAAACCACCATTTTTGTTGGGGGGGGCCAAAGAACGACATGATTTTGGGGGGCATTTTGGGGGGGGCCAAAGAACGACTCGCCCATGTGCCTATTGGTTTCTATTGTTTACCCAAGACAGACCAAAGGAGTCATTCCCGAAACGAGCTTTCTCATTCCCATCAGCCGCTGGGCTCCGGCGTTGCAACACAAACTGAGCGCGTCATGGCTACAAGGCTCCCGAATCCAAAGACTTGACCAAATGTCGCCCAAAGCACCGAGTTGGCGAAGAAGCCCAAGCCAAGTTTGTGCAAAGCAAAAGCAAAAGCCACGGTTGGCAGGTTTTGAAACGAAATCAGGAAAACCATTCCCGGGAATACGGTTTAAGGAAAGACACAGCAAAACCACCATTATTACTAGTTAATTTTTTGGGGGTGGAGGGCACTCAAAGAAGACACTCCCATATGCTGCTTGGGGTCCACTTGCGGGCTACGACACCTGGACAGCGGCACCGATTTCGCGGAGCATCTGCTTTCATTGGCGAAGCGCTCTTTGGCACCGGCGCGCGCACACCAGGCTTGGGCGAATCAAGTTTTGTTCAAACCCGCGGCTCAGTGTTGAATCAACTCTTGGAGTTCAAAGGGCTAGGTGATTCTGGCCCAGCCCTGGCACAAGTGCTACTTGCTGAAGATGAGGCCCCGGCATTCCTGTTGTTTTTGGAAACCTCTAAGTTGCACTTTTCTGGCCCGCTGACTGGCCAACCCCTCCCCCCCAAAAAACCCTATGAGAAGCCAAAAACCCAAAAGGAAGTTCAACTGGTCCTTTGCACTTAATTTAGCATTGCCTCACATTTTGGTTATAATTTTGCGTGTTTCTGTGGGTATCAAAGTCAGAAACTGGGTGGTTTCCCTTTCACCTACCACTTCGAGGGTGACGTTGACACCGGTTGAATAACGGGGCCAACCACAAGTTGCAAGTTTGGGGTTGGGGGCCAACCGGGGGCTGAAACCGTTTTCCCATCCCGAAAGCAAAAGGTTGGATTTGGAGGAGCGGGTACCCGCCGAAGCCGCTTTTGCTGGGCCCATGCTCTTCCTCCAAACTACTTCTGGATCTGGCAAGGAGGGGGCAAGTCTCCAAATGCTTGCAGCTTGCAATGCTTGCTGTCGCTTTTTCATGCTTGTGTGTCTTTTGGCATTCTTCGGCGGTTGCTTGCTTTTTTCGAGCGACCGCCAGGAATGGATTTTGACCGCCGGGCTGACTTCAAGGAGACCATCTTCTTAGCTGATATTTTCTTTGGCAGGTGAAAAATCACCCTGCTTGGTGGATTGACGAGGGATCACCGCCCATCTGCACACTTTACAATAATTCCAAAACCTGAATTAAGGGATCCCCAAGCCAAGGACCTGTACTTCATCATGAGCTCGTTTAGATCCTCCAGTAGAGAGGTTAGAATAAGGGCACCCTGTTTTTCTGTAGTCTATTTTAGTAGGGGAACCCTCCCAACCAAAAAAGAAACGGTAAAAGTTGGCACATTTCCGGGGGCCCTGGTCATAAAAGAACATGGTTCGGGTGAGCTCGCTCTCAAATGGGTGTGGCTCCAAATTCAAGAGCATAGGGCAAACCGCGGGTTTTTTCGACTTCGGCTCCATTTACCAAGGCCATGTTGGTACATTTGTTGGTACATTTTTGGTAAATTTTGTCAAGGCCATTTTGGGAATTCCGAAGTTTTTTGAGCCACAGCCAAATCGGCAGACCCTTGGGTTCCGTTCCCAAGGGCTCGGGACTTCCACGAAGTCAGGCGCCGTCAATCGCCGGGAGCTCCAGCGGATCGGAGGGATCGACATCTTCCGACTGGCGAGTGCTCGAAACGAATGGCCCCCTACCAAGGACCACACTCACATATACTTGTTTACACCCACATTTGGAAGCAAACAGCTACCCCCATGTACCCCCAACATGCCAAGGGCGTATAACCTGTACCTTTTATATATTGAACATCCCTCCCCTCCCCTCCCCTCCCCTCCCCTCCCCTCCCCCACCATAGCCCCCCCCCGCTTGTGTGGTCCTGTTGCCGTTTAGGGTTGGATTGCGGTGTTCGGGTTGCGGAGTGGTTTAGGTGATGGTTGAGGGCAGGGGGCTGGGTCCGGGAGGGGGGGCCCGCTGGAAGGTAAAACCAGGAAAAAAACAGTGAACTGGGGACACGGTACCAAACTTGTACATATATATATATATATAGATATGGCCAATCCCCACTAAAATAGGTTCGAAATGGGTGGTGCACCTGCCCCAAAATGGTACCATTGGTTTTGACCCACAGCCATATATATCTTTATTTCTTATAGGCATACAATGAATGGCAATGTAGGTATCTGATCTTTGTGGAATGGTTAGCTTTTTGATAACCCTGCTTTCCATCCAATGCTAGTGGCAAATTCGCTAGTCCTTAGTTCCACCATGATACCTCGAACGTGCAATGTCCTTGATACCGTGGATGGACAAAATCCTGCACCACGGTCCAGAAACCCTGGTTTATGATTCGATTCCTCTGTAAATGCCAACAAACAATGGTCCCAACCATGGTTTGTTTCAGGGGTGCATCCATAGTAGGGGATGCTCCAAAATGGAGGTTTCCCTTTGGTTCACTTAAAACCCACCCCAAAAACAATCGCCCTGAACAAACACACACACACAGCCCGCTTCGATTATAAGCATTGGAAGGAATCCCCACAAGAGACTATCCGATTTGATACCGATATGCACATGTGGCTTCTCAGAGACGTCTACTTTCTCTGAACGATGGCCGTGGCAAGATCGGGGTCTTCCCACAACGGATTTTCCGTTTGGCGTCTGAAACCAATCCCAAGGCTACTTCCGAACCTCCGGCCTCCTTTGCTGCCGGCCTGCAGGATTCCGACGCTGTTCAGAATCCTCTGGTAGGAAACCAGAAGGAAAGATATGCATGCATGTCAGCGCGTCGAAATGATCTGGTACCAGTAGGCCACCAAAAGGAAGGTCATGTTGACCCCAGATTAATAAACCCCCGGTTGATTAGCAGTGGGGGTGTGCTCCCCTTTCAGTGGGGCTTCATCACTTTTGGAGGGAACACCCCCCCTCAAAATTGGGACAGGTGTATTAATCCGGGTCAACATGACCCATTTTGAGGAACCCTTCACCTCTTGAGTCGAGACTGTCCCCACTTTTGGGGGAAAACCCTCCTTCGAGTGGCTACGGCTTTGCTCATGTGCGCCTTTGGCTTCTCAGGGCTTGGGAAGTTGCTGCAATGACCCCTCTTGACAAACATATTTTAAGTGTTTGACCCCTCTTCACAGTCTTGTGGGTCCAATATGGAAGATCCATCATTTCCTTTTCAGTTTTGTGGGTTCAATATGGAAGAACCATCATTTCCTGTTCAGCTTTGTGGGTCCAATATGGAAGAACCATCATTTCCTTTTCAGTTTTCAGGGTCCAATACGAAAATCCAACCTGTTTCAACCAAAAACGGATTAAAGTCCAAAGAAACGCTACCGAACTGCTATAACGTGTTGACACCTTTTTGAGAATAAGGTTGGCATCCAAGAGGAAACTTACATTTTTAGGTAGGCCATACATTTTCCCAGAAAGCTAAAGTCCAAAGATCCGTTCATTAAATAGCCATAAAGGAGGCCAATGGCGAAGAACCCAACTTGGTGGCGATGGATCGTTGCATTGGACTTATGCACACTGGCCCCAGCGATTTCTGTCACGCAATCCATGGTCAAAAACACAGTTGTGGTATGCCCCTCCATACTGATGGTTGCGAAATCCCTTTGCACCACGAAATGAAACTATGCTTGAAACCAATGCTTCTTTGCAATTGGAGATAAATCGAATCATTCCAGGGTTTCCGAACGTTGGTGCGAAATGGATTTCGCCCATCCGCAGTATCCTCCCAACCAACCATCTGGGTGAATTATAGTATTTCCTGAAATAAGGTGGTTGGGGGGATATTCCCCACACAAACCACCATTTGGGGTGAATTCGGTCGTGTGAGGTCGTTCTTATTCACCCAGAACAGACTTCCAAACATCATGTTGTCCGTTGCGCATCTCAGCGTTGTCCCAACGATCTGCCCCCTTCAGGTGCTTGCCTCTTCTTTGGCAGCGGCGCCAGGCGTAGCCGCTCCGGCAGCAGCCGGTAGACCACCTGTCCAGCCAAGCTCTGCAGGCTGTGGCTCAAAAAATGTACCAAAATGGTCCCCTTGGTAAATGGAACCAAAGCCTAAAACCTGCGGTTTGCCCTAACTGGTAAATCAACTCCCTGCTTTAATGGGGAGGGGTTGGGGGGTTCCAATTCCATTTTCCTTCCCCACAAAAAGGAACATGGAGGTATAAATGGAATTCCAGGGGTCACCCCCTCCCCCAAATCCATTTAAGGGCGTGGAGAATAAATGGAATCACCAGCAAAGCAAGCTATCAAAATAGGTTTCACTAAAATTTGAGTTTGGTTGCAATCACTTACCAGCACGATCGAGATTTGAGCCAATGCTCTTTTCGCAGCAACCTCATGATGGCACATCCTATCCGAGTCGGTTGCCTAGATTGCCCTGTCCACTGAGCTGAGAAAAAAAAGAAAAAACACATCCTCCTGTCACAAAGCATCCTCCTGTCACCGTTTTCCATCTGGCCATGGGTCAAAATCCCGTACCCCCAGTGAACATCCGAATCCCCACTAAAATAGACTAAAATGGGTGGTGCACCTACCCCAAAATGGTACCATTGGTTTTGACCCACAGCCATATGTCTGTCAGCGTCAAAAGTCCCAAGGGTTACAATTCTTGTCTCAGCTCAGGAGTTCACGAGCAGTTAACCTCTTCTTTCATGGCAACCTTTTGCGGCAACGGGATAAGGGCGACACTGCTCGAGCACCACGGGATCTCAGAGACTGCCTCCTTCTCACCCTTCATGCGCACCAACCATCGTGGTGGATCCACCGAAGAATCCTCGCAGGATCGTGCACCATGTCATGAGGGTCCTTCTTTTTTTCTCGGGCAACCCGAAAAACATGAGGGGGGGTCCCTGTAAAAAAAAACCAAAAACATGGCCCCAAAAAGAACCCGGCCAAAAGATGGGTGGTTTTCAGTTTCCCCTGAAAAACATAAACATGGGCCCAAAAAGAACCCGACCAAGAAATGGGTGGTTTACAATTGTCCCCGAAAAAAAACAACAAAAAACAAGAGGAAAAAAAGAAAAAACAAAAAACACGGCCCCCCCAAAAAAGGGTACCCTCCAAAACATAAGCAAAGAAAGCGGCCCTCAAAAGAGGGGTCGCCTCCAAAAAACACACACCTATTTGGGTGTGAGTCAAAATTAAACCATGAAAGAAAAAGCAGGCTGTAGTCCTTGTTTCCATTTACCAGGGCAAGCCATTTTGGCGTTACCCTATTTTTGACCCACAGCCACAGGGCTGTGGGAAATGCCCACTTCTATGATACAAGACAAAGGTCTCCCAAAGACCCCGCCATTTCAACCGGGGATTTCCAAAAGTATCACAGAAATGGTTGGATAAATCCCTTGATCCCACAGCCCTGCACGGCCATTTTCACACCCACCAAAACGACCCACTTTCCCGAGTTCTGATCGAGGCCCCTGGCCAATCTCACCAGCTGGCCGAAGCGGCCGTTCAGCTCCGCCTGAGAGGCATTCCGAAGAGGTCCCCTCGTTGGTCCACATTTGGTAGATGGCCAAAAAAAAGTCCAAACTTTGTATTTTTTTACCACTAAAACGGTCCAAACCCAAAAAGCTTAAAGTTCATGAACTCAGGAAGTGAGACATGGGTGTCTCTCCTTTTTCGCTTTGGGGGAGACCCCCCCAAAATGGGGACGTTCCGCGCGGGTTGGACATGGACACAGGGTGAGGTCATGTCAATGGTGCAAGTGGGCGTGTCGCGCTTTTTTTAGGATACAAAAATGGGTTTTCCTTGGGTTCCCTTTAATCCAACACACTCAAGAAAAAGACACACCCAACTGATTTTGTCTAAAGCGCCCGGACAAGTGTGGCATAGCTTCACCAAATGGGGGGTTGATGAAAAGGTCCATGGAAAAAATGGATGACCATTGTTTCACTTTGTGTCTTATTCATTCAACAATCGAGAGTTTCAAGGTGCTTCCGTCTTTTTGTTCAAACAAGACCTTGATCACAGCTGTTGGCCAGATTTTAAGCTGTTTGATTTTTGCGGTTGTTTGCCTTTCAACCAGCAAAGTATTCACTTGTGTCATAACGTCTGGCCCAGCTTTGTAGACCTTGTTGGACGGTCTGGTGAGGTTTTTCTTCCCTCAACCACTGGAAGCTATGGGGTCGGTAGGCCCAGTCTCGTTAGGTTTGGGGCAGCTGGGGCGGGCTCACAAGGGTTCCAGTTCCGGCATAGCACCTGGGCTTCTATTTTGGGGGTCGATAAATCTTCCCTCCGCCAGGGGGGGCCTAAAATGGCCCAAAAAATGGTTGGTGGCCGGTTGCCCGTCTCAATATTTCCTTCGGCCCCAAATGGCCATGGGTGACTTTTGCCACTGAGTGGTTGAAATATCACAAATATGTTTAGTGGTTGTCCAATGCGATTTATTGTCAACAAACTGACCTAAGTCAGATTTGGCTGCAGCTTCCAGGAACACGCAAAATCTATATAAAGCTGGACAGATCAACCAGGGCTTTTTGCATCAACTGTGTTCCAATTGACGAGACTAGTGGGGTGACATATTTAATCAGCTTGACCAAAAGATCGGGATATAACGGCAAGCCAAAAGGCGGCGAGCTATGAAAATGGCTGTAGTATGGACGGTAGTGCTCTTAATCAGGGTTCCCATTCGAGGTTGTGGGAACTGCCCACTTGCTGTGATACCACCCAGGGAATCCATCCTGGTGACCTTTCTTCAACAGGGTTGCCGTTCTCTGTGCAAGATCCCAACATTCTCACCCTGTCCCCATGTCTGAGCACTCACTTTGATTCACTGGAGAAATCCCCGAGGGGCCTGCATGTGAAAAGCGAGCCTTCCAAATCTGGGTTCCGCGCATTCGCTGCAGATTTGGGCGCAGTTGATTTCTGCTCAGCGAAGAATGGATGGGCGTTGTCTTTTCCGCCTTTAACAAAACCGCACCTCGGGCGCCCTCAAAAAAAAGACACACCCATGAACACCCAGTTACCCGTGTGGCTAGCTACACAAAACCAGGGTGGTTGTGATTGGATGTCGAGCCCAGAGCAAGCAACCCGGCGGGAACTTTTGGGAGGCCCACCCCGTTGACTCAAACTCAAACAGGGGGTGATCACGAAACGAGGAATACAAATTGGCTGGCCATGCCCCACCAACCTCCGAACTCAAAAAAAACAAAAAACAAAAAAAAACAGTTCTGGCCTTTCGTTACCCAGTTGTGGCAAGTCCCTCCTTTTCGTCTTCTTCAATCGAGGGGGTACCGGAATTGGACCTTTTTGTGTTTACAGCCACCTCTGAACATAGGAGTGCAAATGGGCTTGTGTCAAGGAGGGGAATTTCGGACAAATCGCCCCAATTCTTGGACAATGAAACACAGAGCCTGGGGGATTCTCCGACTCGTGGTCCCCTCTGGTTGAAATTCCTGCTCTGGGCTGCCCGTTCTCCGATCCCCCGCTAAAAGTTTAACTTGCTGGGTTACCTGAAACAAAATCCACTAAACCAACTAAAAACATCTAAGAAGCTACGGAACCGGATGGCTGGGAGCCACCAAGTTTGGGTTTCCCTACCCCAAGCACAAGCCAGAGCCCCAAAAAGAGCCCCAGCGAGATCCACGCGCCTGCCGCGCCAAGCCGTGGATCAGCACCCGCCGGCCAGCGCGCAAGACCTCAGCTTCTCGAGCTCGAGTTGGTGGCTTGGAGGTGTGGAGCTCGGTGTCTCCCGAATTTACCTGGCGTCTCCTGCTGACCCTTTTGACACATGGGCGTCATAGCTAACTGCCAACCCCAACCTTGCATTTTAAGGGGACCACCCCATACCTTTCAAGCCTTTTACAACAGGGGTTCAAAACAGCCCATTTTTTGGGTCATGACTCAACCACATTTGCAATTTCGCCCCCTGCAAAAGAAGAGAACATGTCTCCAGTGAAATCGATTCCCTTCAAAAGCAACAGGGGAATCTTTCAGCAAATGGACAGTTGGCCTTTCGAAGAAGCCATGCCCAACTAGGAGTAACCTGAATGACTGCTTTTTGGGAAGCACTTGGGGTTCGGACCAACAAAAACAACGGCTAGGGTGGGTAAACATTGGTGGGGGCTCCAAGTGCCGTCAATGTTTTGGCATGTAAATTCGTTGACCCCTTGGCCAAAGCCACGCCATCCTCAGGCAAAGGGGCAACTTAGAAGGGGGTGAGGGGGCCCCAGCACAAGCAAATGTTTCACCTGACTAACTCTAACTCTGGCCTCTAAGAGTAACTTCACCAACCTTTAACTCCACCCTCCAACTTCCTCAACCTCTAACTCTATCCTCGAACTCTGAGCTCTGACTCTAACCTGGAACTTCTCCTAGACTGAATTGTCGACATCCCCAGCATCATCAGTGGGTTGAGTTTTGGTCGACAGGCCAGTGGCTTCGTGTTGCTCCGTCCGTCGACGCCCTCAGCCTCCTCCCTCGCAGCACACGCACGCGAGCAGAGAATCAAGCACTGATTTGGGCTGGAGTTGGCGCACGCGCGAACGCGTGGCGCGCGAACGCGTGGATCTGCCCAAATCCTCGCTGCGGGGTCGGAGGCAGGCCTCTGCAGTATGTGACTGTACGGACATAAACCGCGTGAATCCAGGATCCAAAAATTGCAGGTGGCTGGAAGGGAACCATACTGGACACCAAGCTGCTTGAAGAAACCGCTCCCTTTGGGTTTCCCTACTTCGATACGGACCCATGCGGAGAGATCGCACAAGGTGAGCTCGAACTTCGCTTTTCTCACCAGACAGCCTCCCAGCTGTGAAGCGACTCACTGTACATCGCCTGCCTTGGCCCGCACCACTTCCGGCAGGCTAGCTGAGTCATATGATTCATACGGAAGCAACGCGCTTTCCGGCAATTGCATGTGTCAAAGCTGGGAAGACAAACTGGTTTTCACCACTAGGTCCTCCAGTAGAGGTTAGAATAAGGGTACCAACTTCTTTCTGTCTATTTTAGTAGGGGAACCCTCCCAACCAAAAAAAACATGGTTAAGAAAGGGCACCTAGCTGGGGGACATTAGTCAAACTGGTTTTGGCGCTAAGTTTCTCCCCAAGGACTCCTCGGGCAAAAGCAGCAGCTCAGCCCGCGCTGGCGTCGTTGTAGGCGGCCATGCTGCGAACGGCGGGGTAGGCGACCGAAGAGCCTCTCCTGCGATCAGGACATGTCCGGAGCGCTGCGACCTCCAAATTGCTCGAACGGTGACTTCAAGGAAAAACCGGAAATTACATTTGGAGAACCACCCGACATGTGTTTTTAGAGACACTTTGTACTGCTAGAAAAGGGCCCTTAAAGACAGGGTTCCTTGGGGATTCCCCAAAACAAAGTCTTCCAACCCCCCCTATCAGCTTCCAGCTTAGAGGGCACCAATCAAAAAGTTGTTACACTAGGGGTCGGCAAAGGATCAAAACAGCTGGGCGGGTCCGTTGAGTACTCCCTGAACACCAGCCTGGTTTTCTATCTAAGATAGGAGCTAGGCAAGCCCTGCGATTGCCATGGGTCGCTTCAACCACCTTTGGGTCCAACCGCTGAATCCTCTTCGTCACACAGGCATTGCCGACGTGGGCCTTTGCTTCTTTTTGAAAGACGCGATTGCGGTTTGCGACTTTGCGGTGTCCCATTGACCTTCTGCAAGAACCAGGGGAAACACTCTGACCGCTGGCAAATCACTGTTCCTCCCCCTTGCAAGGCAGAAACACTCCAGAGAGGCTCCATCCTTCTTTTCAAGACGCTTGGTTTGCAAGTCTGGTAGTTCGCATGGTGCTACGCGTGCTTCCCAACCTTTGGTATGGACATACTTTGTTCGTTGCAGCCCCGCACTTAAAATAACAGGACCAACAAAGCAAACAGACAGACAAACGGACAGACAGACCGGCAGCCAGGCAGGCAGGCAGCTAGACACACAGATAGTCAGCCAGAAAAACAGATAGACAGACAGACAGGCAAAACAACTAACCGACACATCAAGCAAGTAAACGACCTTCCGCCAACGAACAAGCATTGGCGGTCCCAGAGATCGGTGAGTTGGAGGTGCTAGACCTGTAGTCTTGACCTACCTCTGATTTGGGAGTTGCGAAGGACTCTTGGCGAGACCGCCTCCCCAAGCCCGTCTGGTGGGTGTGGCGAACTCAGGCAGACCACGGATATTTGGAGCAGCCAGGTGTGGAGAGCGCAGGGCCCCTGTAGGGGGCATAGCTTGACTTTCCCAAATGAAGTGCAATCAACCTGAAATAAGCAATGAACCGAAGAAAAGAACGCAGCCAAACAATACATGCAGGCAATATTTGGGAGTGGTCGCACTTTCTTTGATTTCAATTCTTGGTTGCTGTTGACCCCCCTGCTAAACTTTTTGCGGAAAACCCCAAATGATTTCCCAAAAAACTGAAAGTCTAAAGATCCGTTGCCCAATAGCAGTCAAGAATTTCGCTGCGCGAGCCGAGCCCGGGCCTGTTCGTTGGCTCCGGAGGAGGCAGCCTTGGGCTGTGAATCGGCAGACATGCGCTGTACCACGGAGCCCTGTTTGGGGCTGGGGCGATGCTAACTAAGCGGCGGCTCCACCAAAGAAGAGAACAAAAGCTGGGCTGCCCGTTTTCGGGTCCCCCGGTAAAAGCGACTAACTTTTAGTGGGTTGCTAGGGAACCGGATGGCTGGGAGCCACCGAGAAAACTGATCCGACACAAAGTTTGCACTCGCCGAGGAAGACTTTTCCGGAAGGAGTGGCCACAAGTGATCACCCCTCACACGTGCCGTCCTGGCTGTCTCCTTTGAAATGTCCGGCCAAAAACGGCGCGAAGCTTTCGGACCCGACGTAACAAGCGGTCTTCCCAGGGTTCCCAAAAGAGCTTGGATGTGACGTGGTGCTCAGCGCAAATGCTGTAAAGACATGTTCGGCAAACATGGTTCAGAAGGATTGTCATCAAAACACATGCCGGTAAGGTTGTTCCAAAGACCAACGGTATGATTTTGGTCTTGGGCAAATGGAAACCAAAGAGAACCCAAAGAAACCAAATGACACCAAAAGAAACCAAGCCTCCAGGGGTTGATTCCCCATTCTTTTCAATCATCGTTCTTTTCGAAATCCTGCCGTTTTCCCCTGGGTTTCTGGAGGTTTTCTGCAAAGAAGGATTCCTGGAAAGAATGGGGAAGGTACCCCTAGAGCCACTGTTCTACCTGTGTGGCTTGGTTGTTTGGAGGCTCGCAGCAACGGCGCCTCGACTCGGCAAAAACAAAAACCACAAGGGCACGGCTGGTTGAACATGTCATCTGCATGGCTCTGGATGTCCTGCCGGTCGAGAAATGTTTACATCACCCCAGCCCAAGAAAACGCCGTGCGCTAACAACTTGGTTGGTCCAATGCAAAATCCAAGGTTTCCCAAAGGGTTAACGTCCGAAGATCCAACCAAATAGCCATGAAGGAAAGGGTGCCACCAAACAACTGGCATCGAAGAAGCAACAGCTCAGTCCATGCAGGAAAGTGTGCACACACCCCGCATCTTTTGGCTGGTCCCAATTTGTATATGGTTGTCAAGGGCTTCTCGAATAGGTTCCTTAAATAGTAACAGTGGCTCTGGGCGCCTTTTTTGAGGGGCTGACAGCCCATGGGATACTCAATCCCAACAGGGATTGGCAAATAGCGACGCATCATTTGTGCCTTTTTTTCGGGTTCTGTTTTGGGAGCTGTTTTCGACAGCCATTTAGAGAACCCAAAACTTGCCCAAAGGACCTAAAAGCAAAAGGCTCAGCTTTGGGGACCTTTACGAAAAGTGGTTGCCGAAAGGGGAACACCAGAAGGTTCAAAAGGTCGGCTTTGGGCAACTGCGAAACCAAGTAGTCCTCGTTTTGAGACCCCCATCTTTCTTTTGAAGTCTCTGGCATGTGGGTTGGGGTCATAGACTCGAGGCCAAAAAGGGAACACCAAAAGGTGTCCGGTCGATTCGCTTTGAACCTTTTAAGGACAAGCCTCACCTCAGGCCATCCGCCGTGAGTGACCGGCTGGCGATCGGCGATCGGCGGTCCTGGAACATGTCGCCGCCGTAGTTCTGCACCCCGGGGTCCTCCGAGCCAAAGTCCCCAGGGCTCACGGCCGATTGAGTGGATTGCCCGAAAACCGTCTTGTATTTGCCGTTTAAAATGGCCTTCCCCAGAAGTTGAAAGTCCAGGAACTCCGGAAGTGAGAGGGGGAAATGACAGGAAACAAAAATCAAAGGCGACAAACGCAAAGAGCTACGTTCAGTCTGGAAAGCTGATTTGTTCAAGGTTCTGACACCCTACATCTTGCACCAAACACTGAATGTGTCCATTCCTGCGTCATCTTGTCATCCAAGGAACCAGCGGTCCATATCTGCCAGAGTGTGAAGTCTTGGGATTGCTGGGGCTGGGATGGTCATCCAACTTTTTAGGGAGTCCGTGTGAGGGAAACATGACCAAATTGCAAGGAGTAATATGGCTGTGGGTCAGAAATAGGTACCAAAATGGAACCCTGGTAAATGGAAACATGGACTAAAACCTGCGGTCCGATTCCTGGTGGATTAATTTTGACCCATAGCCATATTGAACCCCCTTTTTTTTCCATAGGGGGGTGTTCCCCTCCCAAAGTGATGATCCCCGCCAGGGGACGCCAGGGACACCCTCCTATGAGCCGCTGGCATTG